TGGGGCTATATTTTTGATTTTCATTTCCTCCTTTGTAATACACGTGTTTAAGACTATAACTTTTTATAGTTTTGACTTCTGTTTTAAATATTTTAAAATATTTAAAATTAAATAATTAATTTAATTTAATTTAATAATTAATTAAATAATTAAAAGTTGTGGCTTCTGTTTCCATATTTTAAAATTATATATTTTTATTGTAATTCAGCTTAATTTTGCCTAACTTTCATACTCTGATCACAGATTGTATAGGAATGTTTCTTTTTTTTAGTGCAGGTTTTCTGTGTGTAATGTTTACCATCCTTGCATGGATTGGCTCATGGAAGTAACGCATCTCAGTGCCTTTCCATCCACTTTGCTTCCCCTTCCTCCTCTCTCCCTCTATCTCTTCACTCCCTTTCATTTGAGGAGACCTGTCTTCCTATTCCTTATGATCTGTCTTTTATTTTGCTCTTTAATTATAATTTGAGTTCTCATATAAGGGAAATGAATGTTTCTTAAAGTTCTCGAAAAAAGAGATGTTTGCTGTTGTTTCTAGTTTGTTACCAATCTAAAAGCTTCTAACTCATTATGATGCATCTTTTGAAATTTCCTAAAAGTTGATGTTCACAATTTATAAACATCTTCCTGTGAATTTGATCACTATTAATAATGAGCTTTTTACTACTAGTAATTTTGGTGTAATATCTACTTTATTCATTTGTCTAATGTATGTATTGCTTTATCATCTCACTTCTTCTTTGAATATATCTGTTACTTTTTACCTAATTTATACTTAAAACTTTTTTGAGTTTTTATATTGAATATCTTTTGTAAGCAATTTAAACACTGATAATTCTTATTTAATCTGCAAAATAATTTTCTTTCTTTCTAAATCTTTAATCTAGTATTATTGATATAATAATTGATATACTTAGATTTAAATGTATCGCTTTTCTATTAGATAATTATTTATACTACTTGACTTCATTTTTTTCCTTTTTCTCTGAACTATTTAGCATTTTGTCATTTCCTTCCACTCCACCTGCATATTAACTATATAAGTTTTCTTCTTTCCTGAATTACTCTAGCAGTTATATATAATTTTTACCTTGTTAAAATTTGTTGTAAGTTAATGTATAAATTAGTGTGATAAATGTGTAAAATACTATAACATTTCTGTGGTCTACTTACAGAATAACAATTAAAGCAAGTCCTTCTGTGTCGGGGATATAGTTCAGTGGCATAGCCCTTGCCTGGTAGGTGCAAGGTCCTGAGTTCAATTCTGGATAAAAAAAAGCCTTCAATCACCAATATTCACATCTTTTATCTTTTCTTCTTTACTGAAATCATACAACTTTAAGTCTTGCAGAAAATTTTAAATTTTCATCTTCATACAGGACCAGTTTGGGGCTAACCTCACCAGCACATACATCAATTCAAATACACACACGTATGCTGTGAAACACGTGCTCTACAATCTTAAAGCTCGTGTCTAAATTTTCTTCTGATTCCGACCCTCACCACCACTTCATGACAATATGCATTTGACGAGTTATATCATGAATATGTGACACAGAAGTAATATATAAGGCATTTTCCCTTTCACTACTGGCTCCAGAACCCATCACAAATTGCCTTTGTGTTATAAAAATAGGTGTAAAATGCAAGTAATTTAAGGCAATTATTGAAAGAGTCATGCAATGTCTGGGAATAGTTTACTTCTAAGGGTTTAAGCAAGGCTTACACAAAAATAAAAAGCATAAGAAAAACCAAAAATTTATTACATAATGTATCTTACCCATGTACATAGCTATTCATGTATCTATTTATCTTCTGCATTTATGAGACAGAATCTATCTACTCAATCCAGGCTGGCCTCACACTCATGGTGACCTTCCAGGAGTCTTTCAAATGTGGGGTTACAGGCCTGTGTCACCGCGCTTGTCTTTATATTTTGTGGAACGCTTAAAAAACTAGAAGTTGTTTATTAAAGGAAAGATTTTTCTAACATTTTTGGATTATATGAAATATTAATTACCTATTTTCTCTTCCTTTTTGTATAACATCGAATATTAATAACACATTTTCTCTTTCTTTTTGAAATATCTTCAAACCTATTGTTTAAGATATATCATGAATAAGTACAAATGTCTTACAATGAATGTGATTGGAATGTATACCTAAAATGGATCAGTAAACTTAATTACTTTAAAAAGTAGACTCTGGAAAGACCTACTGGGACTGTAGAGTGGAAGCAAGTTACACTTCATGTCTATGACACATTCATTGCATGTAAGAAACTAATAGAAAAATAGTAAATTGTGTAAAAAATAAATAATAGCAATAAGAGCAAACCTTCCTTTGATAATAGTCCTGCTTGTTAAAAAGTTTTCTTTTTATTTCCTCTACAATTGAAAAATGTTTTAATGTTTCATATTGATTAAATTTGAGTTTAATCTGTTAATTTGAATTTAATCTGTTGATTGAATTTATCTTTTATATGTAGATGAGACATCGCCTATCAACTATTTTTCTAGTCAGAAAAACACAACTGTAATATATTTAGGAATATGGTAACTTGAATCATTTGAAAAATAATGTTGCTTAAAACACTGAAAATGAGATGTGAAAAGAGCTTTCTAAAAATACAATTCTGACTCATTCCATGAAACGCTGGCTAAATGCATATTTCCTTTAGAACCATGTAGAATATGTCTAAGTAAACATACTTTTGCAAGCAAATTGTAATACCATCAAAGCATGTAACATGTAAGTGTCAGTACTTGGCACTGCTGGCATTTTAATGATGAAAAATTACTAAATAATTATGTAGTTTTTATTCTTTCTGTGCTTTGTTACTATACTAACTGTGATATTGTTTGCCTTTAAGTAAACAGTGATACATCATAAGTCTCTTTCCTCTGAAATCTCCTCTTATTTTAAAACAAAAAAACATTAACATATGCTACAATGGGGTAAGAACTAACTTTGTGTTAACATGCACAATACTGAAGTTTATATTTGTTTATATTTCTGTGTTAGGAAATATAGATATACATTTCAATCACCATACATAAGCTGCATTATTTTGAATATTAACAAAGCAGTTTAATATTAATTAATTTTTGAAGGATGCATAATAAACCTTGTTTTACTATTTGAAAAGGCAAAGTATGTAATCAGTTTTCATTTAAGTCATTAATTTTCACAATACTACTAAAGCATGTTTTATACTCCTTTGATTATGTCTAATACACCTTCATATTTAAAGTGAGTTCTAATTATAAAATCACAGAGGACAATTACTTCAGTTATATTTCTAAGTGCCTTGGTTGATTAAATTACCTTACTACCTAAGAACTCAATATTAACACCTTTAAAAAGGTTAAAAGATACTTGGTCATTTTGTCTTTTTATGATTATTACATACATATATTTTTATCGAATAATTTTTCATTAAAGCACACTACTAATGGAAATTTAATTATGTTTTGAGTTTATCTTGCCATTTACTTGAAGGTTTAAGTAAAGCTATAGCTACCAACAATACTTTCACAACATTCATAGGAGAAGTCTATACACATTCAGGTCAAATTGGTTCCTAGCAAAAACAGAAAATAAGGAAATCTAACAGGTGTCTATCTCCCTAAGCAAATGGAGCCAATCAGACACATTTTCATTTTGCAGAAAAGGAGAATAAGCAGCATTAACTGAAGACTATCTGATAAGCCATTCAGCAGAACAATGCAGACAGACAATAAGTTCCATGAAACTCTCAATTCATACCCAAATTCAAGAGTAGTCTCTCTTGAATTCAATGAGAGTCTATCTACCTACACACCTAGCAGGACATTCGTGCAACTACTGAAAACTCACTACTCTGATTCCTGATTACTCTTGTTGGCTAGATTAAGGAACCTGACAAGCTGAATGACACTGTGAACACAATTAATAGACAAATGGAACTGATGAGGAGCAATACAAGGAATAACAGACTATGCCATAGGAAGGAGCAAAATTATGTAGAAAAAAGATATCCTGGCTGAAAAAATGTGGTTTGCACAGTTAAAAAACCTGTGCCAAGTTCATTAAATATCTGAATGGAAAAATAGAATCAAAGACTCTCAAATTCATGAGCATATTATTATGACTTTTCAATCACATATTGTTCTGATTCTTCAATTTATTTAACCAATATTCTTCATTTTCTTCTAAGTTTTAGGTGGAATGTATTCTAGAAATAAAGACTAAGAAACTAAAAATGCTTAATAGAAATTCATTTTTCAGAAAATCATCAGATCAATTCATATTTTATTTCGTAAGTACAATCAATAAAAAATTTGAGTAACCCAGTGATGTCATAAGACAACTACTTAGAGGTTTAATTGTTCAAATTTTTTATTCAAAGAAAAAATGTATATTGAAAAACACAAATCTTGTTACCATTTAACCTAATCAAAAGCAACCCTATAGAAGTATGGAGGATTTTACAATTCTAACAGCATTTAACAAGAGGATGGACTTATTGGTACACAATTAAGGTTGTTTTACAGTAAGACATAAGATACACTTGAATTTATTATTGTAATTATTCATTGTCTGCTGATACTGCCAAGCAATAAAATGGAGGCTAATATGATTATAAATAATCCTTTTGCTATTCTTTTAGGTAAAATAAATTTTACATAATTAGTTTTGGTATTGATTTTACATATACTCTATTATTAGATATGTGAATTAAGTAGCATCACAGGAAATAACAGCTTTAGCTTTATCCATCCATTCAGTCACTCAGCAAATAATATAAAGCCAACTATCTCCAGATACTGGTAAAGCACCAGGAACTGTCAGATAGCGAAGCAAAGTTGTTGGCTTGGAGATGTATTTTGAAGGTAGATGCAGTAAAGGCCCTGACTGATGGCATGCAGTCTGTGAGTGAAATGAGACAAGAATGACTTAAAGTGTTTGCTCTGGGGGAAAAATTGCCCTGTGGGGGCATAAGAAAAGCAGTGATTAGTGTGCTCACATCGGCAGCACGTATACTAAAATTGGAAGAATGCAGAGAAGATTAGCATGGCCCCTGCACAAGTACGGCATGCAAATTTGTGAAGGGTTCCATGTTTTAGAGGCTGGGGATTTAGTTCCGCAACACAAGTACTGTCTTACAGGCATAAGGTTATAAATTCAATTCCTTGTACCAAAAATTAAAAAAAATAAAAATAAAAAGAGAACAAAAAAGCAGTGATTAGAGTAGAAAACCAGCATTGTAACTCCAGTTTAATAAGATTTACAAAACACAAGCATCTTCCATAGAACATAAGAATTATAATTTCGAAGAAAACCCAGGTGATTCCCATGAGTAAAAAGAAAGAGAAAAAAATGAGAAATGAGTATTATATTTTAAAATTACTTTAATGTAAGAAAAAGATGATCATGCTAATGATAGGAAAAACTAAGAAAAACTTCACGATTAGGGAAATCAATGATAACATAAAATGCCTATGGTCAGTGAGAGCAGGTAATTAAGAATGGCATATGGATTAACTATATCAGATTTGAAGCCAATTGTGCTAAAATTCAGGCACTACAGCTGGCAGAATAGAATCAGTGAGAATATTAGAAGAGCCCAGTTAGAAAGTAAGCCTTGAGATTGGAAAGTTACCAAAACAGAATAAGTGAAGAGAGAAAAGGTAGATTTATAAACCACTGGTACAGGCACGAACCCCTGCACAATAAAATCCTAGGATAGCACACAGAGTTCTATAAGAGACATAGACTGATGAATAAAGCAATTGAGATTTTTTACTTCAAAAAAATAATTTAAAGACTCTGAACTTTCCCATTACTGCGGAAGTCTGAATAGATCCATGTGACAGTCAAATTTATGAAACGCTGACCATGTTTTATTTCTGAAATTATTACAATCGCTTGCCATTTTCCACTGTCTTATTCAAGTGAACAGATTGTGAAGCATTACTTCAGGGTGGAGACTTTGATTTCCATGGAAAACAGAAATATTCTGTAATTCTTAACTAGCTTTTGTTTCCAGAAAACTAAAGTCCCTGAAAATTTTCAGCTTTCTGAAATAATTTAATTATTTTAGACAGCTTAGATTGAGCATTATGTGTCTTTACTCTGGAGCACTGATTTTCACGTTGGTGTGATTTTTGCTCCCTTCTGGGAAACAGTTGGCAAAATCTGGCGACGTTTTTGAATGCAACAACAAAACTGGAATTGGGCATCAGAGATCTACTAGGTAGAAACCAGGGCTCTGATAAAACCTACAGACAATCTCTTCTTCCCCATCTCAAAGAATTATGTATCCCAAAATACAAGCATACAGAGAAATCTTCCTACAGAGGCTGGAATATTTTCTGTCACTTGTGTGAGGAAGGAACTGATTCTCTGGTGAAAACCTGCATATTGTGAGCATGTTGTGTCTTTTGTGCTGATTCCCTGAATACAAGTCTGTCTGCCATGAACAAGGGGTGTTTGCCATGCCCAAGTGAATTTGATCTGAGCTTAGCAGTACTTCAAGGAAGCCATGTCTCTGAGCACAGAGAAGATGGAGAGCAGAGACAGGCGCTGAAGAACCTGAAGACGGGATTCAGACAGAGGCTAGGGGCTGCCCTTGGATCCACCCATTTTGGCACCAAATTGTAATCAGACGTGAATACGGATAGCTGAGGTCCAGAAAAGGAGAATCACCTCCATGGAAGGCTAGAGCAAGTGTTGTCCAGCAAGAAAACAGATGACGTCAATCAAAGCACTTTACATCAAGACAGCTTTCATAGATGAAAGTTTAAAATAATTCATTTTTCTAAGATTATACTTGATCGCGGGCCTTTGTTGTGCTTGCCAAATGTTAAAATTTCAAAACCTCCTTTTGCCTGTACTTCAGATTGGTATATTCTGTTTCTCTATTGAGAAATTCTTTACTTTTACCAAGTAAACCAAGAACAGATTTGTTTTTATTTAATCAAGCTAATGAGGGAAAGTCTGAATGTGATTTGTTCTTTTTCTGTCTGCTTTTTGTTTGTTTTTGCTTTGCTCTGTTTCTGTTTAGTTAAACTTTTATTTAACTTCGATATTCTGACTCAAATTGTTGGAACTGAAAATCTGAAAGGAATGGCATTATATAGGCTTGTAGGTGTTCATTATCATTCTGTTCTGAAGATTTCAGGCAGAACCTGAAGAAGAAAGGCTTCAACTGACCTGCTTATAATTTATATAATGGCCTTCAACAGATAATAATGTCACACAGCTCTTTCAAAGGCTGCACTACTTAAAGGTTTTTAAATATCAAATTCCTCAAAGTGCAAAGGCATACCTTACAGCATAACAAATGAATTTGCTAAGTGTTAATGTGTAAGCCATTTACTAGGAATGTACATTTGTTATCTCATTTTTCCTTGTGATAACACTATGAGATAACTAGTGCAAATATTCCCATTTTAAATATAAAGGAACTAACCTGCAGAAGGCTTAAACAAGATCATAAAGATAAGCATACAGAAATCCATATTTATAGCTAAACAGTCAGCTTCAGGGCCTGGGAATTTAGCTCAGCAGCTTAAGTTCCTGCCTGGCAGGCATGAGGTCCTGAGTTCAATCCCTAGTCCCAAAAGGAAAAAAAAGAAAAAAAAAAATGTTGTGACTCCAAAGCACTGTCCATTCCAAAATAGACCCCTGAGGCCCTTCCAAATGCTATTTATTTTGCTTCATTAGGATTTATGACTGACTGCAAGAAAACTTGGAGTAGAACTCTTTTTTTTTTTTTTGTGGATAGTTCTATGCCCAGCTAATATATATATATATATATATATATATATATATATATATATATATAATCAGAAGTTTAGTTTAGGAGACAACAACTAAAAGTATGCACCTCTGGATCATAAGAATAAATATTTATCATATTGCTGTATATATTATTTTTGTATTTCCTGTATAGTGAAAGCACCAAAATTTATGAACTTGTCTAGATGACCTACCTCAAACAGATTCACTATGCACTACTTCTTTAAAACATGTAAGTAACTTGTCTACTAACTTATTTAAAATAAGAAGATAAATGTTTAATACCAGGGCCAGGGATGTAGCTCAGAGACACAGTGCCTGCCTGACAAGTATCATGTGATGGGTTTGAGTCTCAGTACAAAAAAAAAATTAAAAATCCACAAGAAAAATTTAATACCAAATAGTCCCCGTTTTCTTTAGAGATGCCTTTAGGGAAATAGTTGACCTCTATTTCCAAGATAGGCTAAAAGTGACAAAGTTTAACATATAATTCCAGCATAGGTGAAATTAGCAACTAAAATGTTGTGCATGATCCTTTCAAACATTTTCCTTGTTGTGTAAAACCTAACGTATTTTTTTATTCTCCAGGACTGCACGATCATCCTCTTGGTGTGTCTGTTGGCCTGAACTCCTGACTCTTCAACACCAAAATTCTCAGTCTTCATCAGCATTCCTGATCTTGCTGTGTAGTAAAACCATTAAGTATCATATAGCAGGCTACTCTCACCGATTTCCAATCGTTTTCTAATAGTTCTTTTCAATAGAAATTCCCGCAACTCCTCCTCTTCTTCTCCACACTTCTTTTCTTCTCTTTGTCTTTCTTCCCCCTATTTCCTTTCTTTTTTCCCTTCCTCCCTCCATGTTTTCCTCCCTCCCCCCTTCTTTCTTTCCTTGTCTGCTTTCATAGACAATCAAGACATAATATCGAAGACTTAGAACCTCTTTTCTGTTACATATACAAGCCCTTTTCTTTTCCTTTTCTAATCTTCTTCAAGAGCATCCCCACAAATGTCAACTCCAAGATGTGCTAAGTGATACCATTCCCTGTTTCTAATTGCAGTAAGACTGAATTAAAGTTTAGCCACTGTACTTAAAACTTATCGTGAACAAAGCTCTTTAAATTATGCATAAAAATCTGAAGATTTAGAAACAGAGTTTTGAATTACTTGAAATTCATATTTTGGTCTTAACAGATGAAAGCAACTGACCAGCATCAACAATCAGAAAATGTTTACTAGAGACAAAAACAGTCTTTACTAAATCAGTATGAAGGAAAAGAGGTTAAACAGTAGAGATCAACCAAACAAATACATATTCCTGGCAAAGTTTGACTTCAGATGTCTCAAGTATGATCTCACTTAATCTAACTTGTTATCACATGTATTAGAATAGATTATCTCATGAAATTTTCTCTAGGATTACATTCGAAGAGTTAATACATGATTCATAAAATCCTTTCTCTAATTCTCAATTGTTGTGGTATTATAAATACTTTAATAAAAAATGTCTTATTTAAAAGCTAAGAGTTAGGTCAGAAACCAGTATGACTTTGTCTATTGTGATAAATTTGCTTAAAAAGAAAACTTACAATGGTTCACAAAATTGTTTGCCAGCAGAAATTCTGTGGGTATCGCTCCAGTACATGTATATAAAGTACATATAAACTAAAGAGTCTGTGTTCCTAAGTCCATTCTGAAAATTTTATCACATTGTCTTATCATTCTGTTTGCTTGTGAAATATATACAATGCTGTGCTCAGGGAAACACTGAGTATTATATTCCTTAATAAATAATTTGCCCTCTACAGTACAGTTGCTGATCTTTTCTCCCCAAATTTGTAATTTGGGAATACATTACATGCAACATCTTATTTTCAATTTTTTCATATAATCATCAATAATTAACAAGCATAGAGTTTTCCTCCACATGGTTATGATTTTAATGTATTTGAAAGTATACTTGACAACTGCTCCATTTATTTTCTTTTTTCTTTTTCTCCAGTGCTGGGAGACCCTGAATGTCATGCATGTAAAGCACATGCCCAGCTATACATTTTCCACTTCCATTATACTTTTAGCAAACCTGTGATTCTGAAATGCTTGTTCAATTGCAATGCTGTGTTAATTCTTCTATAATTGGATCAATAGTTATCTGTGTATCTGAGTAAATGCCTGCCTTCCTAAACAGACTGAATAATGATAGTGTTTTTGAGAGCTCTTCCTAGTGATTCGCTCCCAGCTTTCTGAGTAACCCTCATCTTTGCTCTGTATAGATGCTACCAGGAAGCTGATGCTTCTGTAATTACTATGAGGTCTCTCACTT